TTAAAGAAACAAGAAATATCTCAAAATAGAAGGATGTCTCCAATAAGCTCCCCTGAAAACTAAGTACAAAGTAACTGGTTTCTTCTAGTGTTCTTCAGCATGATTTATTATTCTGCTTCATCCAAAAAGTGTTTTAAAGGTTCTGATCTTTTCAAAAACAGTAGTCCAAGGGTACATTTATATCAAAGTGGTAATGATAAAGTATTTTATAATTCTAGATAATCAAAAAGTCCTGTACTTACTATACAATTCTATAAACAATTGTCAACAGTCTTTACAAATATACCTATGCCTGTTATACTGAAATATCCTTTGCATAAATTTTTATTGTATGGCTGGTTAGCAATAGTGTATTATGGGAAGGTATCGTAGTTATATTAATGATGCTGCAAAGACCATTTCTTATCTGAAGACTGAGATCATTCACTAGCAATCTCCTGGGGAAAAGGTGTGTCAGAAAACTGGAACCAGACAAACAAGAAAGGGACAGGAGTGGAATACAGAACAGGAATCTGATTTTTTTTTTAGTCTTGATCGTTAATGTGTTTGGGAGGAAGCTTGTGGGATGTGAAAAGAAGCTCTCCATCTGTGTATAGGTCAAAAGCCAGGAATTTAAAATTCCAGCAAAAAGCCCTGGAGTTGTTCCACTTCTTTGAAGTAGCTATCTCAAGGCAACATGAAGAACGGGGCAGGCCCCTCAAGACGAGGGAGCAACAATCACTTCATAATCCATACTGCCATCGTGCTTCTTATTTTCTCTATCCCCTGGCTGTTCTCTAGCACTAAGTTTTGAAAAGGTCTTTAAATTTTGAAAAGTCTTTCTTAGTTGTCCAAAGGTGAAACAAAGGGAAGTAATTCTGGTATACACTTGGGCCAGAGGACATCAGTGTAGTGGTAGCACCAGTAATCAGAGAGACCACCCAAAAGGGAAGGTGAAATTCAAAGGGATCAAGGTAAGAAGACGACCTTTGTAGTCATCCTCTCTTTCACCTCTAACCCTGGCCTCTCCACAAAAAACAAACAAAAAAACTCCTGAGCACAACCTGGTTAAACCTTGGATGTTAGAAACCTGGAGTTTCTAAGGATATAGATTCTTTCAGAATAAAATGGAAACACTATTTCTAAGGCTTCCTTTGGTGTCTTCAACTCAAAACTACTGGATTAGGCAAAAATATACAGTATAATGCATTACCGTTGTCAGATATTCTTGGACCTCAAAAAGCTAACCAGATTTTCAGATAAACTCACACAGCAGTTAGGTGAGCCACTGAGAGGGAAACTTTTCCCTGAGTCCAACACCATCACTCCACAGAAGTACCTTATCTTTCCCAAATAGCAAGTAAATTTACATATCACAAAATGCTTTGAAATCCAGTTTTCAATTTTACAATGTTCTGTTTTTATATCAACAATTTAAATTAGAAGTGGTCACCACAGCTTGGCGGAAATGAGTACTGAATGTTTATTCTGGACCTTTGGGATCTAGGTTCTGCCACTTACAACTCTGAGAAAATTGTTAATACTCTCTCTGTGCTTCAGTTTTCTCATCTCCACACTGAGGGAATAAGCTATACAATCAATAATTCTATGGAAAGCCCTGGATGGTGTGATACAGGGGTTAGAGTGTCAGCCTGTGCACCAAAAAGTCAGGGGTTCAATTCCTGGTCAAGGGCTCATACCTTGGTTTTGGGTTTGATCCCCAGCCCCAGTGGGGCTCATGTGGAAGGCAACCAATCAATGTGTCTCTCTCACATCGATGTTTCAATCTCCCTCCCTTCCTCCCATTCTATCTAAAAGACAAAAATCAATGGAAAAATAACCTCGGGCAAGCATTAAAAATACAGAGAGAGAGAGAGAGAGAGAGAGAGAGAGAGAGAGAGAGAGAGAGATATGCTGTGGTAAGCCCCACCAAGACTAACTACCTAACCTAACTGCAGTTCCAGCCCCTCTCCTCGTAACACCTTTCTGTTTCCTAGATGGGATGCTGTCTGATTCATGAATCATTCAATAAAATCAATTAGATCTTTAAATTAACTTGGTTGAAATTTTGTTCTTCATTGGTTTCTATTTTTTAAAAAGTTTCAAAGGTTCATATTTATAAAAATAAAATTCAAAAGATTCAATGGTTAGTAGAAATACACAATTTCCCCTTAAGGGAAATCTCCAAAGCGAAAAAGCAAAAAAGGCAGAGAGTGAAGTAACTCTGTTATCTAGACAAATCGAGTCAATTCTCTCAGTAAAATTATCCCATGCACATACTGAAGCATTACATAGCATCAATGTACCTTTTAGTGTATTATTTAAGCATAACCACTATACCGTAGAAGTCCCTAAAACTATTAAGTTCAAATCAGCAAAATCTAATTCTCTGTATACATATTTTTTTATTAGTGGCCAGTAGCACAGAACGCATTAGGCTTTGCTGATTTAAACTTAAGAAGTTGTTTGTGTGTGTGTATGAGTGTGTGTGTCACTACTGTTGGGAGTTGTATTTTAAAATAATGATTTTTGTGGGGTTCTAATGAAGAATAAAGACTTAAGAAAAAATGTATTCAAAAATAACAAATTAGAATAATAGATTGTTATAGAATAGTAAGAAGCCAAGAAAATTCCAGGACAAGCGGAATAGGAAATTTAAGACAGATAGTTAAACAGCAGTTTGCAGCCATCTAATAAATCCTATCTTCCCTAAAACAAGGACACAAGAGTAAATGGTTTGCATTTCTCTTCCCCAACCAGAGAGGGTAAATAGCTTAGATAACCCTACTCATGGAGAAGACAACAAATCTAATTAAGTGCCATTTGCCAACCACACCCAAGGACAGGCAAAAGAAGACAATAAAACATTTTGGTACATCAGCATAAAGCTGATGAATATTCTATTGATCCTCCCCTAAGAACTGCCCTCAACACCCAGCCTTTAAAACCCCTGAAAACAAAGGTCCCAGCTCACACTTGTTCTCTCTGTACCTCTCTCTCCCGCCTTCCCTTTCTCCCTTTTCCTCCCTCTCCCTCCCTCTCTCTTTCCCTCCATATTCCCCCCTTTCCCAGGAGCATACCCTCACCTCCCCCACCCCTTTTCTTCCCCCACAGGCATGTATCTCCTAAAGGGACCCCAGGAGACTTGCAACCCAGGGAGCAATTCATAACCGCAGCTAGTCTAGGGTTAACCCCCTGAACCTGCCTCTAAGGCCCCCTTTTCTCTGACTTCCAATGAACCAAAGCAGCCCAGCCCAGGCTCTCCTGGTGCTTCTTCTATGCCCCTCCCTGTTTCACTGCCCTAAGTATATTTTTGCTGTGGTCAATAAATTCTTGCTTACTTTTCTCCATTTTGTCTCTTGATTGAAATCTTTCCTTCAAGAGGACAAGAACGGAGGGTCTTGTCAGTAACAAGATCAGTCTATGTGGATCATCTGTACTCCCTGAAGTTCACATTTTCAGAAACAAGCTTTTCAGTGCTAAATATTTCCCTAACCTATTTAGGTGAAACTGACAGAACAGATGTAATAATACTTTAGGTGTTTTGGCATCTGTTTCTTTTCAGGTCCTACAAGTAATTAAATGAATAGTCTGAGTACAAAGGAAAATGGTTAGTGACAGTAACAGAGAATTCCAAGTTAGATGAAACTCAGCATGTCAGAACTGGAATGAGTTCATCAAAGCTGCTCTATGGTCAGAAATTATCCTTCCAATGCTCTCCTCTGCCTAAACCTTTGAGAGTCTGAATTTTTTTTTTATCCTCACCTGAGGACATTTTTTCGTTTTTTGTTCAGATAGAGTGGGAGGGAGAGAGAGGAAGAAACAGAGAGAGAGAAACATCGACCTGAAAGGGACACATCGAGTGGTTGCCACCCGCACGACCCAACCAGGGCCGGGGATAAACTGCAACCAAGGCACATGCCCTTAGTGGGAACAGAATCCAGGTCTCTGGACTGCAGGCCGACACTCTAACCTCTGAGCCAAACCGGCCAGGGCTGAGAGTCTGAATTTTAACACAGTAAGTCTCTACTTAAATATAAGATCTACTACAACACAGGCTCCTGAAAACCTAGGAGATCCTCATTTTCTTTGGCACAAGTTCAGTCTGTTCAAGACCCATTAGCGGCCCTGGCCAGGCAGCTCAACTGGTTCGAGTGTCATTTCCATAAACCATGGTTTCAGGTTGGATCCCAGATTAGGGAACATACAAGACTCAACCAATGACTACGTAAATAAGTGGAAAGACAAATCAATCAATCTCTCTCTCAAATCAATAAATTAAAAACAAAAGACCCATCATAAATTACATGACACACTCCCCAACTCCTAGAAGGGTAAGTAGTTTTATCAGACACACAGATTACGCCTCACTTATGAGTCAGACCCATAAAAGCAACAGTTTGGTGGAAGTAAAATATGTAAACAGATAATTTGTAATACAAAGTGGCACATTTCATAATGTAACATTGCTGGGGATTTATAACAAAATAACAATTGGAGGAACTCTGCCTGGGCTTGGTTAGAGACCTTCCCAGGGAATTCTGATTGGCAGGGGCATTCCAAGGTCAATTGTATCAGACTTTACTGAAAACCTAAAATGTAATGTGCTCTGTGGCACTACAGGTGCACAGAAAAATAAGATGTAGTTCCCCACTCTTAAGGGAGTCCAAAGAAGAACAATTTACTACGTGTTTGGAACCAAAATAATGAAACTCTAGCTTTTCTAAAGGAGGTGGGGTCATGCTGGAAAGTAGTAAAAGACTAAGTTTGTGAATGAAGTCATAAAACTTGTTCAAAATAAGGCTCAATCTAATAAAAAAATGGGGAACAACTCAAATGGGAAAATGATCCAAGATCATCCACGACAACTTTGTGAGGTAAACAAACTCAAGGAAGAGATTCCAGTTAAAAGAACAAAAAACGAAACTAAATGAGGTGAGTTTTTAACTCTACAGTTTGTTATGCTAATGGTGTTCTACCCAACAACTGTAGGAACAATAACACATAATAGTTGACAGCACCCTATTTGGAACTGGCCCTCCGGTCAGGCCATTCAGCTCCACCACTTTCCAGCTATGTCTTTTTGGGGATGTTCCTCAACAGCGCTGTGCCTCAGTCTCCACCTGTAAAATGGGGTGGCTGTAGAGCCAGGAGCAGCTTCTTCAAAACACGGGTGTTTCCACATTACCCTAGTCAAAAACTTCATTCACAATATCAAATGCACATCTTTTAGGCACTTGTAGCCTCCATAATCTGGCCCCAAACTTTCTGGTCTTAGTCGTCATTGGACATCCTCCCACTTCCACGAAGCCTATGGATCTAGTGTAAGCTCTGCAAACGCAAAAGCACCTTCCTATTTCTGTGCCTAATCTCCAGTGACTCGGGGTCTACAAAACCTTCTCCTCAGCCTCTTTCAAAGCCCACTTCTCTTGGAAATTAACTCTCCTTCCCCTCCATGTCCATTGCACATCTGCTGCTCCTTCCAGTTTACCACTAGTTTCCGTTTTTGTGCTTGTCCTTTCTAATGCTTCCCTCTCCCCTCTTTTCGGGAAGCCTGGACGTCCAGAGAGCAGGGGCAAACAGATCTCTTTCCTCCTCCTTCCCACCCGTATCTCTGACTGTGCCGATACAGGCCTGGAAAAGCGTTACTGACTTAAACTGGATGTTTACAACTGCAATGGCCGCAGTTGCAGAAACTGCTTAATTTCGTACAATGTTTTACTGCGTTCAGATCCTAAAAACCTTGATATAAAACGGCTTCAAAACCAGAACACCTGCATCCCTAGAAGAAAAGTTGTGCGGAGCACCCACACGCACTGCAAGGCGGTCACTGAGCACGAGAAGTTGTGTGTGTCGCGGGGCTCGGTTTCCCACCGTCGGTACCGTGCTCCGAAACAGGGAGAAAGGAGGCGCCCGGCAGCAGCCAGGGCCGTGCTGCCGTCGGCCCTCAACTTCCTGCGGGCCTGCGGGCTCCGGCCGCGATCCTCGGTCTCCGCGCACTCGGTTCTCCAGCCCGCGCCCCCTCGTCCCGCCGCAGCAACGCCCCCACCCCGGAGAGGCGCGGACGGCGCTGCAAGTCCTTGCGGGCGGGCCAGCTCGGGCCTGGGCCGCCCTGCCCGCCCTGCCCGCGGCCCCGCTGGCCCCGGCCCGCCGCCCGCTAGTCGGGCCCAGGCCGCGCCGCCGCCCCGAGGGGAGCTGGGGGACTCGGTCGGCTCCGCGTGGCGCCGGGGGCGGAGCCCGCCCGGAGGGCCTGGGGAAAGGCCAGGGGCGGGCGGCGGCCTCCGCCTACCCCGACACGCACCCCACCGCCCCCAACCCCAATCTTCCTTGGGGCCCTGGTCCGCGGCCGCGGCCGGCGGGACTCACCACTTACCAACCCGCCTGGGACAACGCCGCGCTGGGGACTTCGGCCATGGTAGCTGCTTAGGCCGGGGTAGTGGGGGGCTGGGGTGGGGGTGGGGGGGCGGCCTCCTACAAGAGACTAAAAAAAAAAGAAAGAAAGAAAGAAAAGAAAAGAAAAAGAAAGAAAGAAAAAAAAAAACTCCTCTGGTCGGCTCTGCAACTGGGCATGCTCAGTGCGGCCGGCGCTTCCGCGTGCGGGTTCCGCTCGCCGCGTTTTCCGAGCGGCCGCAGGGGCCGGCCCGGTGTGGGGCTGGGCGGCCGCGGCGCGCCGGAGGCGGTAATCAGCCGGGGACGGGCTGGGCCCGGTGGTAGGAGGCCAGGGTGTTAGCCAGACCGCAGGCTGCCTGCCCGGCTCGGGCGGGTCGGGCTTTGTTGCGGGTCACCTTTCTGAGTTGCACACCTTGGCAACTAGTTCGGGAGGTTCTCTGCAGAGCAGAAAGGAACGTCCGCGTTTCCAGCGCTGCCGACAGTCAGCTCAGAGCCGGCAGCCGCGAGGGCCCTTCAGTGCGGCGCTTGCAAGGCCGTGTTTCATGCAGTAACACTCGGAGGACAGTGTTTCCAAGCCCACTCTACTAGGGAGAAAAGTTTATTTTATTATAAAGACCAGTTCCATTCACCCCGCCTGGACGCCGAAAGGGAATGCAGTCGATTCCTTGTTCCCAGTCCGCACAAGCAAATCGGATAGTCCAGGTCGGACACCACAATGAAAGTGAGAGGTCAACCCAAGAAAACCTGCACTGAAGGGACGTGGGAAAATTGGACAGTTCGGTCAGTGCTGGTTTTTCCGTCGCTCTCCCACTAAGCACGACTGTGTCCCAGCGCTGCCTATGACGTTGACACGGACGCACCCAGACCTGGCACCCACCGCCCCCTTCCAGGTGCCCTTAGCCTCTTAGGAGGGTTGAAGCGCAAAGGCGGGTCCCCAAGTGGGCATGCGCGGCGGCGTCGTGGACCGGAGCGGAGGACGCTCTATTATGATTGGGCGGTCGAGACCCACGCCAGCCAATCAGGATGCACTAGGCCCAGGGAACCGCTCCCTAAAAATTTGCTCCACTCTCCACGGTCTTTTACCTTTGAGGGGCCCAGGAAAGACTGGCATTGGCTGCAACTGCTCAGTGCCTGGGTGAGCTGTGGAGAATTTGAATCCCATCCCCGTGGTGGTTTCATTTGAAGCCATCATCATAAACAGATTTTGAGCTAACTTCGGATCTGGACAGAGCCGTTCCTGGGTCTGGGGAGGTAGTTGACTGATACAGAAGGAAGTGGGTAATTGCCGGGGGTGGAGCTAAATCCTTAATACAAATTTTTTCTCATTTTAACTAGGTTATGCTGTTCCAGTTTCCCAAAAGTCATAGTTCTAAAATCTCGATGCTTTCCTGAACTCTGATGTTACTGTAATACATTCCCAAGCACTTTTAGCAACAGAAGTAATTCTATTCCCTACAATTTGCAGTATACAATGTACGGCAAAGGCCATATATATACTGCAAGTATAGGGTGTCCCCAAGAAATGTAAACACAAAAATCGTGTCATAAAGCCAGTGTTTATTAAAATACATTTCATTTTCAAAATGTAATAGAATCTACAGTCACCCAGTATACATTTGGGGGGAGGGGAACACCCTGTATATTTCCATTTACAGACACTGGTCGTTATATCCTGGGGTCAGGAAAGATTTACCATTCTAAAGTAAATAGATGACTTAAAATTAAATTGCTAATACTTTTTATTGGTTGTTGAATCTTTCCTTACCAAATATTTACATTTGACAGTTACTATAGCCTGTTAACTGAAAATTATAGGTTGTTCTAATCACCAGAATTCTTCACTGGTTAAATGTGAAGCCTTCACACATCTGTACACATATGCAATATAATACAGTAAGAAATTACATCGCATGGTGCTTATAGTTACTTTAATAAAATGCACCCTGGCTGGTTTGGCTCAGGGACAGAGCGTTGGCCGGGGGACCAATGAGTCTCTGACTAGTTTCTGATCAAGGGCACTACCTCTGTTGTGGTTTGTCCCTGGCCCTAGTCAGGGTCTTGTGGGAAGCAACCAGTCAAGTCAATGTTTCTCTCTCTCTTTCTCTCCCTCTCTTTCCTTCCCACTCTATCTGAAGATAAATAGAAAAATATCTCATGTGAAGATTGAAAAATAAAATTTTTTTAAATGCTCCTCAAAACAATTTCCTTGCTTTGAGGTATGCTTTATATAATGGAGTGAGGATTTCCACTGGAGAAATTTGGGACAATATGAGCATCAGAAAAAATACAGTAATTACAATAATTAATTGAATAAAAAATTGGACAAAGGCACAGGACAATTTGGCTCAGTAATTAGAGCGTGGCCCCCCAGATCAAAAACTCTGGGGTTTGATTCCAGGTCAAGGGCACATACCACCTTTCCCGGCCCTGGGCCCTGGTCCAGGTCCTGCTATAGGCAATCGATGTCTTTCTCTCTATCTGAGAATCAGAGAATCAATGGAAAAATGTCCTCAAGTGAGGATTTAAGGGAAAAAATTTTTAGATAAAGAAAATGCATGAGTTCAGGGTGCTACTAAAAAATAAATAAAGGCGGGAGAAAATCTTCTTTCAGAGGAATATTACAGATTAAATGTAGAATAAATAATAGAATTAGAAAATCACTAGTTTTCACATCAACCACAAATAATTCAGGCAAAAATCATCGGAGAATGCTAGAAGCCATTGGGTGAAAGATTGTAGGAGTTCAGGATCTTCACATGGTCTTTAAGTGTCAAGGTATAACTTACTTACAAAATAGAAAACATACCTTTACTTTTTTAAAAAAATCAGTGCTTAAACATGACCAAAGCTAGAATCGCTAATAATGGGACAATCTGCAATTATGTGCTTGTTGATGTTACGAAATACACATCATCTAAGAACTATTCTTGCCAGAATTGTTTAACTTGATTTTCATCAAGCTTCTTGCTTGTGGTTCCTAATCAGGAGGTGGATCCCCACCTGGCTCCCCACCTCCTGGCCACTTTCACAATGTCTGGAGACATTTTTGTTTGTCATAATGGGAGAGGGGGCCAAGCAGGGAAGGAGCAAGAAGGGGGTGTTATTTCATCTAATGAGCAGAAGCTGGAGATGGTGCAAAATACCTTAATACCCATGGGGCAACCTCTCCACAACAAAGAATTATCTGGCCCCAAATGTCAATACAGCCAAGGTCTAGATATAAGCACAAATTTAAAGGATAAAAAAAGAGGCTATTAGAACAAGTTAAACGTGAGGGGAAAGGCAGATAAATCCGGAACGTAATATACTCTACAAGAAACCTGGCCCAGACTGTTCAAATAAGCCATTGTACTTTTCTTTTTTAAGAAAAGTAGAATTCTTCCAGATTGAAGAAACGCAAAGGACATGACAACAAAATGTAATCCTCAATCAAGAAAAGATGTGGTCGTGCCCTGGCCGGTTTGGCTCAGCGGTTAGAGCGTCCACCTGCGGTCCGAAGAGACCCGGGTTCGGTTCCCGCTAAGGGCATGTACCTCGGTTGCAGTTTGTCCCCGGCCCTGGTTGGTCATGCGGGTGGCAGCCACTCGATGTGTCCCTTTCACATCGATGTTTCCCTCTCTCTCTCTCCCACTCTCTCCCTCCTACTCTATCTGTACAAAAAATGGAAAAATGTCCTCGGATGAGGATTAAAAAAAAAAAAAAAAAAGAAAAGATGTGGTCGTGTATTTAATCTTAAACATTTTGTGCCAAAGCATTTATGGCTGAAGAGTTGTGGTATCTGCAACTTATTTTCAAGTGATTCAGAATATATCTAGATATGTTTAGCCATATAGATATATTTACACATGTATATGCACATCTATGTATATGTATGAAAGAGGGAGGAGAGAAGGTAAATGTGGCAAAATGTGAAAAATGAATGGATCTAATTGGAAGGTCCAGGTGCCATGTATATATACATAATATATATATATTTACTTTTCCCTATGTTTGAAATTTTTCAAAATAAAATATTAAGGAAAATGTATGGATTGTATAATTTCTTTCACATCAGAAAATTTTTATTGGAATTATGTTCTGGGTAGATTAGTTAGTGCCCTGGAAAAATAGTAGCAGCTGGCTAAATGAAAAGGTGGACTTCCAGTTTTAATAAGATAAATCATTGATTTACAGAAAATATGAAGTCTTGCAATGAGCTAAATGTTGTAGGAAATACTAAGATGACAAAAGAGCTTTAGGTATAAGAGGACAAGAAGGCAGAGTTAAATTTATTTGGAGTAAATGGAATAAATTGACAGAAGAGAGCCTGAGGATCCATTCACCTGTTTTGCCCCTATCAAATGAGTGAAGAAAAATGTTCTCAGACTGAAGAAGGATAGAAGATTATGGATAAGTAGGGATAGACACCACAACAAAATATGAGATTATAAGAGTACCTAGCCCCTC